TTGATCCTCGTGTCCCTGAAGCGAGGACGATTCATTGGATCACTCTGGCTCGTGACAGGGACGAATGGAGACGTTACTGGCGCCCGCTTGAGGAAATCGACGATCAACGGGACGACAGGTGATACAGGGTGATACTCAAAGTGAAAATAGCGGGTGATTTTACCGTCGATGGCCTTAACTTATCCGATGTCTCGAGTGACTCGATTCGTCCCGTAGACAATTTTATCCTTTCGGCCATCGAGCTTCTCTCACATGTGACCACTCCCCAAATCTTTCAAGGAATCTTCTCCCTAATCATCGTTACGGCGACCTCAGCCAGCTTCTCGCCAATGAATTTTTCGGAGCACTTGTTTTTGCCAGCGCTTGTATGCGGCTTTCCTCTTCTTCACAACTTACTTTACTTCATCATTCCGAAACCATGTTGTCTTGTCCTCTCTGAACCGACCTCAATTTCCCACTGCATTCTGTACGGTAACCCCCACACCGTTGCTCCAAGTCTGCTGGATCGGTATTCGGTGACTTGGGATAATGGCTTGAAGCTTCCCCGTTTAAGAACTTTCTTTCCCGCTAGGAGCAGCTTTCACCATCGGACTCTTCTCTCTATTGCTACCATTGCTTTCTTGTGTAGCTCTGCGGCTATGTCTGCCAAATGGCAGGTTAGCCAGTCCGACGCTGGAAAGCGATATTTATCAGAAATGGGTAGTGGGCTTGACTGCCCATTCCTCATCAACAGGACAAAGAACTTCTGACTGACATCATCTTGATTCTGCCTTAATTTGCGCCTTTGAGTTTTGTATTTCGGGTCGGTTACCGACTAGGCTTCTCGGAACTCTAAATGAACAAAAGGTCAAAAGAGGCTCTATAGATAGATAGTTCTCCGAAGAACTCGCAAGAACTTCGTTCAGCAGGGATGATTCGTTCCTATCCTTTGAGGGACAAGGGTTGACTACACATTTGGAGACGCCACCACCAGTCGTCCGTGCAAATCGATGTTCGACGACGGAGTCATAGCGAAATCTGCTAGTTACGCAATAAGGACATCGAGGTATTCGGAGAAAGTTGAACCTCCGAAAGTCTTGGTTTTTTCAATCTGAAGCTTCAAAGGAAGGTAGATAGGACTCGCACTCTTAGTGGAAAGCGATTCTATCTCGGTTCCCTCAAATTTTTTATTTGGATACAATTTTGCATCAAAAAATGGAGAGGTTAAGAGGGGCAAAACTAGAAGAACCAGGATTTCACTAGGTACTACTACAGACTTAGTTCTGTAGTAGTACCTAGTGAAATCCTGGTTCTACTAGTTGTGAGATTCTGTTTACAATATCTAGAGCTTCTTCACCAACCTCGAAATACTAGACTTGCACTGTGCCCTCGTACCCTCGACTGAATAATTGACATAATGTTTTGTCAACAGATGCAGGTTCAATGGTTGATTGATGATGGCTTGCAGAATGGTGAGAATCTGAGCGTGAAGTCATTGTGGAGCTCACAAGTTACCCTCAAGTAGATGTTAGCCCTCTGATGGAGCGGGGTTCGAATAACACTTTCTGTATTGACAACGTCCAAGGTTTCTCTCAAACTTATAAACGTAGAACATAAATCATCCTTTTATTCTTGCCCTACTTCACTGGATTCATTCAGAATCCGATGACTGCCACCAATTCTGTTCGGCTGCATTCATACTCAACCTTGATCGTTATGCAATGGGCGATGGATTCGATCGATACGCCACGGTAACACGTTTGGATAAGCCACACACACATTATGTTAGGATTTTGCACCTTAAAGACACACAAACATGCTTGTCTTGCTTCGCTCCACCTGAGCAGTCCATGTAAAAGCTTTAATCAAATCAATTAATAAATAGAAGAGAGAGAAGTAGAAAATGGGTGGACGCCGGGGTAGATCACCCGTCGGGCGTTGTCTTCCGGACAACGCAGACTATGAATGCACCACAACCCAGCGTGATATGAAAGATCATATGAACCGTCTCTAAAATCCTGCATACTCCTCCCGTGGCTGCCATTAGAAAAGTGTTCGACCAATTCCATCGAAAACAACTTGTGTGAAGATTTGCAAACCTAGTCAAATCAGGCAAAAATCGCTTATATTGCCTTCGACTTTTTTTTCATTAATATAGTCCTACCTGTTTCGAAAAATGTGGGGATCCTATATAACGACAGGATGGGAGACGGGCGTTAAGAACGATTTTGTGTAATCGATTCGCCGCACGCGGCTGTCGCGTCCACTCATTCACCGTTAATACAGCTTTGACGTTCTTCATACAGCTCAACCGATATGCGATCATTATTTTATGCATAATTCTACTATTAGTACTTTATTAGTACTTTTGTTCTTGTATTTCTTACCTACTGCTGCATCCTGCTACATTCCTTCGCGAGCGACGCCCCTTTCACCGCGACGCGAAAATTTCGTTCCTACTGCACCACACCTAGACAGGATAGACGGAACTATGAAAATAGTTGGCGGTCGTTCTAAATGTTCCAGTATAACGCTCTCGAGAACGAGACTAGTGCGATTCTTCGAACAAGCTCAAATAATCACCACCGTTATTTTTAGCTTATATTCACATCTACTGCAGGCAGTAACAAAGACTGGCTGTGTACAAAGCGTTCAAAACGTAACAATAAAATTTCATGCTGTGGTATGCTGAGTAATGATCGATATGCTTGTCATTCTACAAATATGTAATCGTGTACGTTCGCAAGTACGATTCAAATGCAGACCACCATTTTCTGCGACATCATTGTGATCCGTTTCATCAGGGGGGCGGAACATTCACCCAATTCTGGACGTACGCGGCAACTGCGCGGCGAAATTCGTTGTGATTTAAACGACTCTGGCGCCTATCATTGTTGACAAATTTGAAGTAGGGTAGGTAAGTAGCATCAGCTGACACTACTAATGTACTCTACTTCAAACCTGTGCCCCAATGATAGGCGCCAGAGTCGTTTAAATCACACCAAATTCCGCCGCGCGGTTTGTCGCGTCCGTCCAGAATTGGGTGAATGTACCCGTACCCGCTTCATCATGCTGACGATTGAGCAAATACGTTCCTCATGGAACATATGTTCCGCAATGCTAACAACCCCCCTCCCCTTAGCAATAGAAGCTGCTTGAGCAGCGAGGCATCCAAACATTTTTCCTCGAGAACTCTGGCCTCCGCAATCACATGATTTGACCAATTCCTTTTCAAGAGTTGGTACAAGGGAAATGGCACTTTCAAAAAAGAGCGTTGAGCGTCGAGCGTTAGCGCTCAGCGCTTTTAGGCGGGTTAGCGTTCCCGCTGCGGCTGACGGTATTGCGTTGAAGCATGTTACCGTTCCAGCATAGATACGCAGAGCTCGTTCATAGTGACATACTTTTGTCAAACTATGCAATAAAAACGCGGTCACGAAATTATACACCGCAAAACTCGATCAAAAAGTAATTCTCCGAAAAAATCCAGCCGTGCGGGGTGTCGATCGACGGCCGTGTTGTACACGGAATGCCGCTGTTCGACGCTAAACGCTGTTTTCTGAAAGATGCCCAAAAAACTATGAACGTAATTCGCGCGCGATACAGGAATTACAACGCATATTGACCCTTCATATCCGGAATATCACTATAAGTTCTGCACACCTACCAAAATGTCTGCAAATGTAAGAGATTCTATACTCAAGACCGGAGGAATCATGTCGAGCAGTTCTTATAATTGCTATTGCTTGATACAGTAAAAAATGAACATGTATTTATCATGATATAAAATATAATAGTTACGTAATGAACACTCTTAATCTGCTAAAAATAACAGTGGTGACTACAGGTACGTTTGTATGCTGCTCGCCGGTGGCAGGAGAGAACTCCAGTCAAAAAGAACTATAACTCTGCCGAAAAAGTGTCGCTTTAATCAATATAAATGAAGAATTAGCAGTGCCTTCGGTGCAACGTTATTCACAGCTGACGTATGGTAAAGGGACAACAGTACAGAAATGTAAACTAATGTAACTTTTCCTGTTATGCAACAGACGCACACCTTTTCGCACTCAACCGATCTACGACCAACGCAAAGTTGTCAGAGAGACAAGTACGAAATACCAAAAACTTTTAAAAGTCAAAGCTCATTATATGTCGTCTATGAGAAAAATCTCCTTGTTGTACCTGAGAGATGGGAATCCTTGGTTAAAATTTGTACGCCGGAGCTCTCTGAAACTCAGCGCTCGGGACCTTCTCTGAGCCGTCGATGAACCCTTCCCACAGACAGATCATACATGCTGCCAACCTGAACGATAAGGTAAAGTCAGCGCCTTCCAAGAGAGCATTTTTCTTCGTCATCATCCCAGCGGACCCTAATAAGACTTAAGTCAACATTTATTAATCGCTGGACTCCAATCGATCGCAATTCTTAAGAGTAAAGAGTGAATTAGTAATGTCAGGCGTAGCAGCCGTAGGTTTCACTTTCGGGACGAGTACAATCCCATGAACGTTCGCAAAACCATTCTTTACGAATCCGCCACATTAATCCAAGGATTTGCGCAAAGCTTCAGGCTAATGGAGCGGGTTTCGAGTGCCGTAGACTCAAACTTCTCACAAAACTGTCATCAGCCTGTGTCACCAAACAGTCAATACAATCTTTTGAAACGTCCAAACAGCATATTCAAAAATTAGCTATCGTGTCCACTCGTAATAACACATTGGACTCATTTATGAACTGCTCAAGGTAGTACATTCCCTATACTGCAGTTATAAAAGACTAGAATTTTGAAATCTTTATTATCATTGCATATTAAAGTTTATTGCATTCTCATGAGCATAGACAATTGATGACTAGGACCTGCTTCTAACTTGGTCAGCATGACCCGAGCTACTACTACTACTGAAAGTAGTACAGCATACAGCACGGGACCCTGCCCGAGACAGAAACAATCCATAGACACAACATATAGTACATGAATGGAGCAAACATGAGTTTTGTTCGTATGACAAAAAGAGAAAGTCGCCACTTAGAAGCACTTGCGATGAACGATCGAAGGTCCAGACTCATCGTATTCCTGCTTGGAGATCCACATCTGTTGGAAGGTGGACAGAGAGGCAAGGATAGATCCACCAATCCAGACAGAGTATTTGCGTTCAGGAGGAGCAATAATCTTGATTTTCATCGTGCTAAAAATGAACTCAATCTAGAATGCCAAAGATTTAAGTAAGGAGAACCTGAGGACAGTAGGCTCACCTGGGAGCTAGAGCTGTGATTTCCTTCTGCATACGATCGGCAATACCAGGGTACATTGTGGTTCCACCAGATAAGACAGTGTTAGCGTACAAGTCCTTACGAATATCGATATCACACTTCATAATTGAGTTGTATGATGTCTCATGGATTCCAGCAGATTCCATACCCAAGAAGGAAGGCTATAACAGTAACAATGATGACAGTTAATTGAAAGATAAAGGGATGAGTATGGTGGGCAAACCTGGAAAAGGGCCTCGGGACAACGGAAGCGTTCGTTTCCAACGGTAATAACTTGACCGTCAGGGAGCTCGTACGACTTTTCAAGAGAAGACGATGAAGCTGCAGTAGCCATTTCTTGTTCAAAGTCGAGGGCAACGTAGCACAGTTTCTCCTTGATGTCACGCACGATTTCACGTTCGGCCGTTGTGGTGAAAGAGTAGCCACGTTCGGTCAGGATTTTCATCAAGTAGTCAGTAAGATCACGTCCAGCGAGATCGAGACGGAGGATAGCGTGGGGAAGTGCATAACCCTAGAATAACATATTCAGACATCGACTACCATTCGAAGTAAATAACGAAAGAGATATAGACCAAATACTGACCTCATAGATGGGTACAGTGTGGGTGACACCATCTCCGGAATCCAACACGACACCAGTGGTACGACCGGAAGCGTATAGGGAAAGAACTGCTTGAATGGCGACGTACATAGCTGGAGTGTTAAAAGTCTCGAACATGATCTGGGTCATTTTTTCTCGGTTAGCCTTGGGGTTAAGGGGAGCTTCGGTCAAAAGTACGGGGTGTTCCTCTGGTGCAACGCGAAGCTCATTGTAGAAAGTGTGATGCCAAATCTTCTCCATGTCATCCCAGTTCGTTACGATACCGTGCTCAATAGGATACTTCAGTGTGAGGATACCTGGAAACGTAAACAATGACCGGAATCCCACTACAGCAACATAAGATCTCAATGCCGGACATAATAGAGGAGAGCGAAATCCGGACCTCTCTTTGATTGTGCCTCATCTCCTACATAAGAGTCCTTCTGTCCCATACCAACCATGACTCCTTGATGACGAGGACGTCCGACAATTGACGGGAAGACGGCACGTGGAGCATCATCTCCTGCGAAACCAGCCTAAAACGATACCGGATCAAGCATGGTGACCTGTAGATTAGTTTAGACCCCCCGTACAGGTGAACACGGTCTTCATTTCATGTCAAGCTACCATAGTTTAAAGTATAGTAAGCTTAATCTGAGAGCGTGCGAAGGCAGTACACAATTTGAATATGGTTTCGACAGAATGCAAAAGACCGTCCATCAACTGGCCATCTGTGTACGATGGGCGTTTTATGAGCGACAGCAGCAGATGTGGCACAGGAAGTCAGAGGAGCCAGCACCAGCAGCACTCATAGTCGCGGAACCAGCGCAACTGTGTTTGTCGAGCCGACCTCTTCCAAGAAAAGCTCAGAGGGTGTAATGCCGCGCACTCAGCAAATAACGACCTCTCTTTCACCTCCTTCTGCACTCCGAATTAGCACAAACGCTCAATGTACTCTCACATAATCTCCTCTCATCAATGAATAATAATGGGTATAGTCGATCGATTACACTACGACACAAAACTATCCGAGGACTGTCATCAAGAAATGTCCGAGAACCAATCGGCCTTGACTAACGCAACCTCCCTTCACACATATACAAAGAACGCGGGACGACGGCCGACGATCTATCCCATCCCGCTACTCCTCACCCCCATTTTCTATTGCATGCGCAGTGACTCCCAGGAAACAAATGTTATACAATGATATACTTTAGCATCCTCAGAAGCAGCTTTTCAGACCCACGTGCTTGTGGGCAAGCCTCTACAAAATACAAGCATTTCTACAAAAGAAGCTGTCGACAGTACGCTGTCCCACCAAAGCTGGCTACGTATAATTAGACCATTGACGACAGCCAACAACAACATCACACCCTGGCTCGATGTCCCCTCAGACGTCCTTAGACTATTCAAGTGGACGCTCGCGCGAAGAACGACGATAAATGTGTTTTGAGGTCGGACCTGCGCTCTGTGGCGGCGGCCAGACGGTGCAAGGAATTTGAAACTGGAAAACGCGCCAAGAAATAACCTCGCAATTGCCTTTGCCAAAAAGCCTGACTGTCAACGCAATATAGATGGATATTTGAGATCAATGGCAACATATCATAGATCACATAAACATCAAAGAATATCAACTTCCATGACACCACAAATTAACCAAAAGACTGTAACTCAGCTGCAACCGACACAAAAATGAATAAAAACCAAAGTCCCAAACAGTAGCCCCTCATCCCTTACTATCGCCCCGGGACCTCTCACGAGTCATAACCCCACAGCTTCTTCACCACCAAAGCAAGGCTTTAAAAACCTCATAATTTTTTGTCATTAATAGATAAATAGCTAGTAATACGTGATGTAGATGATTACCTTGCACATCCCGGATCCATTGTCGACTACAAGAGCAGCAACTTCGTCGTCACACATGATGATGAGTGTGCTGTTGGCGGCTAACGAACTAGTGTCCGCCCGCCTACCATCGTGCTTTTATATGCGCGCGACCCGCCAGCACGCGACGCGTCCGCCCCGCGTGTTGCCATTGGTTGCCGACGTCTAGTCGGAGCTTGCTATTGGCAGGCACTACGCATTCGGTATGAGTAAGATGGCCGCGTGGGTAGGGTGAACCCCGGGGAGCACCTGTTTGATTTCGTGTAGCTACGGTGAAATGATGGTGACGAAACAGAGATCGCGACAGTTGGCTAGGTGCCAGTTATGTGCCGTAGCCCATTGTGCCCGTAGATAGCCATCAATGGCCGACCGAGGTGGTAGTAATCACTTTATGGGCACTTGAACGGTGTTACAGTTGCTAACAAATGAGCACGTCCCGTCAATATCACTGAAATTGGTAGAAAGTGACCGAATGGTTCCGAATGGTTCGATTTGGTGCAGGTCAAGGGGAGCGGCGCTGCTGACCAACGAATGCCCACCTGACTTTCACTTATCGCCAGCCGACTTCAGAGTTGTTCTTTTAGAGATCATCTTTGGTTGTGGCTGCGAAATCAGAAAACACGGGCTTGGTATGGCTTTTCCCAGTGATCTGGAATCCATCCCATTGTTTGGATAAAAACTACTTTTTATGTGTTTACATAACTCGATCGAATTCACTATGATACTTCAGATCATTCACAATTTCTTCAATGGTGTCTCTGTTTTTTTCTCCTGTATCGCTTCTCGTGCTTTGATATCGTAATGTACGCATAGTGTGTAACACACAGTATGAGGATAGAAGTGCGTTGGTTTATCCACGCTCTCGACTTTGGGCGGCTTTTGATCGGATGCGAAGCCACCTTGAAGGACGACGATGAGAGCACCTCGAGTCAACAAAGTGCTCATGGAGGAGGCCGAGTGATTGCAAGAGCAACGCGTTCCAAGAATCTTGCTAAACACACATCGCTAAGAGAACGCGATGAAGCACTCCGCCGTAGTTCAGTGTTTGAGGGCAATTTCACGACGACGACAACGACGACAGTCTCGGGCGTCCCATCCCTCACATACACAATATTGAGACAGTGAACACAGCACGGGGTGTGGCACATTACTCAGAAAAAACCTCAAAATCGAGAAATGCCACTTGAAAGGAAGAAAAGGCTACAAAGAAGGGCATACTGGGAAGGTAGCTTCATCTGTACTTTAGGCTATTAAAGGCACTATAGGGGGCCATATAAGTTAAATCGTTCACCAAAAACGTTTTCTTACAGCCCTAGGCGGCTCAGGCGCGAGCTATTAAGGGATATGGATGCCGAGTGAACAAGCAGTCGGGCATGGAAGTAGGAACAGATACATTGAAGTGGTAGCAGTGCATAGTATTTGATTCAGACACTTGGTGATAGATTCGTGTATTCTATGTTACCATTTACTCTCTGAGGTTATTCTGTTCGCAGATGTAACCTTTGGTCCTCGCATTTGTCGCTTTTTCTTGATTTATGACATCATTGACTGATGAGGAACAGACGTTCACGGTTCAAGGAAGCAGAAAAACTCCTCATCTATACCTACAGTTAATCGGTTCCACCTGTTTTAAGGAGCTTTTCATTGGATTTACAAGGGTATCAGCCCATTGTAGGAGTATCATATCCTCAAGTACACCCCTAATTCATATGGTAGACCCATCTTTGAGAAGGATACCATCTTTGATAAACAGTAATTGCATTTCATCGAATACCATATCATTTATTACCATTATTTATCAATTTTGGTTGCCACTGTGTAAACGCGCCATGTTGGAATGAACTACCGTCGGGTAAACTGAATTGCAAAGTGGCTGTTTGATGTATTCCCGATCATTGTGGGATAGTTTTAGTTACCCTGGGAAGCAGAGATTGTTCCGAAGACATTTTCTACGTTGATGAGTGTATGCGTGCTTAGTAGACGCTCATATAACCTTTCAAATATTTGGACCTTTGTCTTCACTGGGTGGGTGCCCGTGCCCGTGCCCTTTTGCTGTGCCGCTCGCTTTTCGATATCGCATTCCTGGTCATTATCATATGGAAGGATCGGTCTCCAAGATATAATACATTCCTATGGATTCATCTCTACGTAGGAGGTGATGTATATGCATGGCGAAATGAAGATGAATAATTTGCTGAGTCAAACAATCGCTGTACATTTCGACTTGTCATTGGCATTCGGCACTTGCAGTTCCTAGAAAACGTTTGATTCATTCCGTTAAATGACAGATATATCGAACAAAAAACTTCCATGCTAGATCTTTAATTGCTATTTCCCTTGGATTGAATTAGATTTTTCAAAATCTTCTATATTGGGTATCTAAGGGTACATCTGTTTGTCTTACGACCGGTTTTCTCAAAATCTTTCAGAAGCTTTTCCGTAAACTTTGTCTAGTGACCAGTGGTTTCCAGTGGAAAACTTGAAGAACCAATAATCCCAAAAAATGGCACAACTACACTTTTCAACTAGAACTTTCAACCTATACAAGTTTTGTAAGCTAGCAAACACAGTACAGTTTTACTTTTTACCGTTTTAAAGCCTTACAATTAGTAAAAATGCCAGAAATGGAAGTAACTGTTTGTTTATAGCCCCGGATCTGTTTGCCGCTATGATTGACCAGAAATTAGCATCTGTGTCCTCGTCTTCACTCCTTCAGCTCATTCAATGGGGTCATCTCCATAATGAGGTAAATACCCTGCGCAGACTATTCTCACACGATCTTCCCAGGAGACTCGGCGTCAAAATCCCGAGACATTGATACGTGTGTGTGTGTGTGAGGGGGTATGTGTGCTAGCTATGGTGAATGTAGACAAACCGTGAGTCAGTTTTCGATTGCCTTTTATCGTCGATCGGCTAGGGTGGGCAGCAGGGCGGGGGAGGGGGAAAAACAACGGAAGCTTAAGTGCGCAAAAAAACACCATACGCCTCAACGCGTTTCACCCCCACCACCACCACCATCTGGGAGCATTTAGTGTGTTCGACGTGGTAAATATTTTTGTAATTAACTATTCCGTAATCTTGAACCGCGCGTACAAAATTGTGCCTGAGTTGTTTTGTGGCTGGAAAAACCAGTCTTCAACGATAATTATTAGGCACATTCGGGTCGAAGTCGGTGAGGGTGCATCTCGAAATCGATTTTGGAACGTCTAGAATGGACAAAAAACCCTCGAAGACCAGATCGGACCACCTGTCTCGGGCTGTGATCCTAACGAGTATGGCCAGACATGGAGCTCCGAGGGTTTGTATTTCATGTGTAAACATATGGTCGAGTATTATGAAAGTTCACATATGTGTGTTGGTCTTTGCGCTCTAGCCATGTGTAATATCGCGATCGCGCTTTTTTTTATTACAACTTATACTCGGATCCCCACCGTAGCCCGTCTGGCTGCAGATAGTAGCCGTAGAGCTTGTATAAAGCTCTATTTTCAAAAAAAAAAAAATGCCAAGGAATTAGGTATAGATAGGCCGGCAAAGGTCGGAGGGAAATCCGCCAGAGATCTCGTGGCGTCAGTGCATATCTGTGCCGCATCACTATATCGACATACGATCACTGTCACCTCGTTAATGTAATCGGAGGGGAAGGGGCACATTGGGCAGAGTTGGGGATGAAGAGGAGGTCATCGGAACGTCAAAAGAACCCGAATATCTAGAGGCATTTCCGTTCCGTGTAGGCACTTGAGATTATGGGAGAAATCTCTTGAAATGTGACTCATCGAAAACACCTTTGTCTTTTAATTCAGTCATTCTTTATAAGGAGAAAAAAGTCTTCATTTAGGTTAGAGCTTTGTAAAGCAAAAAACAATCCAAGCCAGCTTTGTCGTCGTCGTCCTCTCGAAAGGTTCTGGTGCGAACAAAGTCGTACGAAAGTTTTCTTCTCGATGGGTCAGGGTTCAAGGAAGAGCAGGATTCATATTTGATACTTGATGTTCGAACAAATATTCATGAATAAAGGGGACGTTCGGTACTATCAACCAGCAATATTACAGTTTAAAAGTACAGGTAACTACACGATATGTTGTTATAAGGTCCGTACTTCTTCTCAAATCCTCTTGGGTCTCGATGCTTGAGGTATGAGATCTAGTGAGTTTACTAGATTCCCGAGGTCACTTGTCTTCGTAAGTTATCCTTGGTGGTTCCAAAATTTTTCACAAATTTATACCGAACCCATTGGCCATCATAAAGTCGACCTGATTGGAGTAACTCTGGGTCAAGAAAAATCTGAAATTCGTTTGAAGGCCGCTAAGAAACCCAAGTTGCGGTCGGCGGTGTTATGATGGTGATCACGCTTGAAGATAAAAGCGTATGAGAAAATAAAAGAGTGTTTAATATGAGTAATGCCCTCAAACTTTGAAAAATGTTAGCGAAAACTCTTGCATTTGGAGCTCTTTTACTCATATGGAGAAAAAGGAAACGAAAATGGGGAAGCTTGCTCTGGAAACGTAGGAAATATGAGTAAAGTGATCCTACGCTGGTCTTTCCACAGCTACGGTGGTCCTCACTACGCAATAGAGAAGTGTAAGTGTCGTTGTAACAATTAAAGTACGTTTAATGTTATCTGAAGGTCAGATCTCGTTGAATACCCATTTTTGTATCACAGGCTGTTCTGGGCAATGAAGTTTACAACTAAGATAGGCTGGTGGCCGGTCATTTGAGATCGTCGAAAAAAATCACCGTAGCAAGTGTAGTCGTAATAGGATGAGGTGTCAGGGTATCCAATTTCGTCTAGCAATGAGTCAGCCAAGCCTGCCATTCCCTGTTAATCTGTAGTCAATCCTTATACAAGTGTTAAAACGTTGTCCTTCACAGTGGATAACTTTTCCACTTACTCCCCAGAACAAGGGTCATTCACAAGTATTCAGAGCCACCTCGATTCTGAGCGGAAGTACAGGGAGCATCCTAAAAAGAGAACAGAAAAACAACGGAAGTCTCCAAATTTCTGTGAAGAAACTCTTTTCCAATGTATTCGTTCTTGCCCGAAC